AGTCTGTCCTTGGGGTTGCTGGAGTCACCTCACCCAGCATTCATGGAGGGCAGGCAGAACCTGGCAATTTACATTTCTCTTACGTGGTCCCTAACCACGGGATTAGGTACCAAGTGGTTCCTAACTGTCTGATGCGGGCTGCAAAAGCCCAGCTCCCTTGCTCAGAGACAGGGAGCCCACAGTATTGGGCTAAGGCCAAGACTTTACCTGACTGTACTTTTATTCACCTTTTCCATTCCAGTCCCTCACTGGTCCCTCCTGGGAGCACTTCATTAATCAATCACTTAACCTCTGTGTCTTTGGCTCAGTTTCTGCTTCTGAGAGAACCCAACATAAGACAGACCTTTTATTTCTGAATCCAGCTCTCCTGTCTTACCCAAAAGAATCTAGAATCAAACATGGCTACCCCTGTCTAGGTGATAGATGAGAGAAACTTTAATCCCTCCCTCAGATTTTATGAAAAGAGTATAGCAACATTTACATATTTTATTCTTTGTAGAATTGAAGGCATATGTCCTGGGGGTGCTGAAAAAGGACATTTTCAGCAATGTCAATCCAGAGCTAAATGGGAGGAAACTGCAAAAGGGAAATGCAGCTATTCATTGAGTGCCTAGAGTGTTCTAGATACTGTGCAGAATGCTCTTCAGAGTATACAATCTTAGTTTAATAAGTCTTAATGGTACCTGTGTAGACTTCCAGGTGGGACTGTGATACTTCTGGGCACAGTATCCATATAACTTAGGAAAGCAGTCCCATTTGACAGTTGGAGATGTAAGAGTCATGAGATTGACCATATTCACACAACTAATGTGCAAATGATTATACACGGGGCTCCATGTATCTCATTTCAGTCTCACAATTAACTGATGAGGTAAAGCTAACAGCCCCACTGTAAAGATGGGAAAACGGAGGGAAAGAGCATTTTAGTCACTTGAATGATCGTACAGATCATAAGTAGCCCCACCCACTTCAGAAGCAAGAACTCTCCCAAGTTTTGAGGAGCTTCCAAGTCCCATTTTGTAGCTTCAAAATCAATTTGGGAGTGACAACTTGGATCAAGTTCAGTCCACAAACTGCCATTTTAACACAGACAGGATTTCCTGGTAGCATGAATGTGACCAAGACAAGTGCATTGTCCCCAGCAGAGCAAAGAGGAGAACGTGTTCCTGCCCCTAGTCTTGCAGGGGTAGGGGTGAAGGTGGGAACTGTCATTCTCTGCTCCTCAGAGAACAAAGCAGGCCTGACATTGCAGGGAGAGCCCCAGGAAGCATTTCAAAAGCTCCACTGGAACTAGACAGCCTTTCAATCCATTTATCAAAGTGTCTGCAGTTCCCATTTCAAGGTAGATGAAGCAATAATAAATTTGTGAAGAAAGTTAATCTGTGTCCAAAGCATTTTAGTAAATTAAAAAGGGGGGAGGGTGGCTGGAAGGGGGATATATTGGTTCTTGCCAACTCCTATTTGACTTACTGTCTCCTCAGTAAGTCCTCTTGGTCTTGTGTTTTTGGATGGAATAATCAGTCGGTTAATCATTTTCCAGAAGCCGGAAAATGCACTTTAGCTAATGCAGTTCTCCGTTTCTCTCAAAGCCCTAATTATTTAAAAAGGCATCCCAATACCTAACCCCACTTCCCAACCAAGAAAACCTTTCCCATCAGCCATCTTCCTTTACTTACCCAGAAAAACCCAGCACACCGCCCACTCCTGTACCCCACTCCAACCTCATACCTTTCTTCAAATGTTTTTTTTTTTTTTAAATCCTCTTCTGGGGTTACTTCTGAGCAGTTCCTCAGTCCTGAGCGGCTTCCCTCGTGAAGGGGGAGGCACTAAAGCCCCAACAAGCAATTGGCCAGAAGTAGGCTCTTGGGCATTGTGGATGGATTCTGTTATTTTTATTTAAGTGTCAGTGGAAAATGGTGGCTCTTGTCTCTCTCAAGGATAGTACTTAACAATAGCTCCATGCTCTGGCATCATGCTGAGATAAACACACTATTAGGGACTCTCACAAAGGCCCCGCGATAATTGTGAAGGGACCGTTACCGAAAATGAAGCACCCAGCCCTGAACCCTCCTCCACGCCCCATCAGTAACACCATTAAAACTGTCAGTTTGTCAGCCCACTGGAGGTATTTATGAAATCAATATACAGTCCTGCAGATGGATGGCCACAGTATTGTTAGCCGGAGAAGAGAGGCTCCGTGGAAAATAAAATTAATAAAATTTACAAGCAGATTGTCATGGGGAACAGATAAATTCCCTACAATCTACTGTTTTGCTCAATTGGGACAAGAGAAAAGCAGTGACAGGGCGATGGGAAGAAGCTGTGTTTTAACGGGCTCCTTAAAACAGGAGCAAGGCTTATATTTACAGCAAGAAAATAGTGAACAGAAACCAAAGTGCTGCCCCACCCAAGTGCAGGATTTTGCTTGTGTGGGAGGTCTCCCAACAACATGGCCAGATTTTTCTGCTTAAATTTCGCTCTCCTCTCCCCATCACACTGTACTGCAAACCAGAACCTTTGTGCAATTGCTACTCCTCCCAGTGTATTTTGGGATGTTGTCTACTCAGGAAAGATTATCGCATTACTGGAATACATACCCCCTCATCCAGCTTCTAGCTATGGTTCAAGCTGACAGCTCAAAACCTCTCTCCTCTTTGCTCCCCCTGCCTCTGATCTTGATCATCAGCCATTTTCCAAAAGTGTGACTGGAGCTCATCTTCCAGAGCAGCCAGAGAGAGCAGCCAAGCCTGGGAGGGTAGTGGGCAAAGGCTCGGTAGCCTACGGACCAGCTTCATTTGGCAGAAAATACTGGAATCATTGTGACTGCCAGAGCCTCGGGTGCTGCCCAGATGCCTGGTGGAAATTGCGTTAGTCGGATGACAGTACCTGGGCCCCTGCTCCGGAGGCTGATGGAGAGCAGCTGAGTGGCCTTGGTGACACCGCCTGACCTCTGCTGTCATCGTGGGCTTTGTTCAGCGCCCCGACTGCAGGCTGGAGCCCTGCTCATTGAATCAGGCCTGGCTGGGGGGCCTGAGACCGGGCTCATTGTGCATCTGAATTTACTTACATCAGTTGCAGACACAGGAAACTGGATTTGAGATGGGGAGCACCCTGTTATTCAGCCCCAGAAGCCACTAGTCCTCACACCTGCCCTCTACCCCAAGTCTGAGCCTTGTTTTGGGGCCAATGGTGGCCCCAGTTGATCCTCAAGTGTCGTCTTAGCTAGCTGCTCAGAGCACACGGCTCATCTCAGCAGGGGATGGGAGATCAGAAAAAAGTGGACACCTCTTTTCTGCTTCCTCTTTTCCCTCCTGCCCCTTTGCAAAATGTTCATTCAGACTGCCCAAATTTTAGTGGAGGGCAGTCATCTGATCTCTCTTGCCAAATATATCTGGAGTCATCTAAAGCTTTTGATTAGGTACCCTTGGAAAATCAGTGTGGGAGTGTCCGCAGGCACAATCAGTCCATAGGTCAACTTAGCTAGGGCCTGTCTAACCTGTGACCAGCAAGTTTTCCTTATAGGACCCCGTACCAAGGATATAGTTGGACAAGTGTCCCCAAAATTTGCATGCAGAGAAATTCACCCTAGTGTTTCATTAAATAGCAAGCAAATACAATTTGGGATCCCAACAATTTAGGATCATAGAGCCACTCGTACAATTGGATGATATACAGCCATTTAAAATGTTGGCACTGATGTACTATTACTGACAAGGACAGATGTTCTCAATATAGCAAACAAAAATAATAGATTATAATAGTCTATATATTCTAAGGCCATACTGGTGGAATTTGTATATATATATATATATCTCCTAATTGGTAGCAGTAGTTAGATCTGCGTTATTTTTTTTGTACCTTCATATTTGAGGATTTTTCGGGTGTTCTTTTAAAAAATAATGTGTATGTACAGGTTGTATGTGTGTGTGTCATACCTTTTATATCTGAAGAAACTATAAAGAGCTCACTGTGTCCCTAGCCCCTGGCTCTGCAGCCCCCACCACGCCATAGTCCTCAGAGAGGTTTCTGCAGCCCATGGCTGTGCGAGACCAGCCAGGAAGGAGGCATGGCATGAGTGTTTTGCCCGGCCAGTTCGCACACTCTCGGAGGCCTGATGGGTCTTTACAGATCGATTATTCGCTGAGATCCAAGCAGGCCTGAGTTCTGAATGAAAACAAGTGCACATGTTTGGTCTAGCAAAAAATAAAAGTGGAACACAAAACAAACAAAATAAGCCCGTATCTTTCTTAGAAAGGAAATAAGGCTTTGGGAATGCTTACAGCCTAGGACAAGACTTAGGTTTGAGCCAGCTGTGAGACCTGACACTATCCCTTCCCCTCCTCAAAGCAACATGCTGGCACTGCTTAATGCTAGAGGAAGTGCCTGTGGAACCGCCACTTTGGATAGATTTGTGGATATGCAATTTGAATTCATCATGCCTGTCACTGAGAAGATCCAGGGGCCCCCAGGAATCCCTGGGACTCTAAAATAAGCTGAAGTGGTCATCCCCCTCAGAAAATCAGAATGGGCAGGCTCTGTTCCAATCCCATATTACAAAGGCAGACTGTCCTGAGCAGCAGAGGACAGCCCTGAGAGATGGGAGATTGAGCTGCGTTGACCCTGCAGTCGGGGAGGAATGCCGGGTGGGGGTTGGGAGGGGGGTGCAGGGAGTTGTCTCCAGGAGGTGGGAAAACAGAGAATTGGGTGCAGTATGAGCAACAAATAACCCAGCATCTTGGCTCGTGGCCTGGAGGTGCGAGACCACCCACAGAGCCCGCCCTGGAGGCGAGCTGCTCTGCCTGGTAACCATTTCAGCAAAGGCCATCACTTGAGGAACAATGTGAATGCTTGTAGCAGCCTGGGGCCTGAGACCAAACAGCCCCCAAACACTCTGACCGCAGAGGCAGCAGCCTGGGGAGGGGGGTTGTTATCCTTTAATGAGATGCAGATCGAGCCGGCCTGAGTCTTTAACGCAGTGTGCCTCTTCTCTTCTTGTTTAGAGATTTGAGTGAAAACCAGATCCAGGGGATCCCAAGGAAGGCGTTCCGCGGCATTACCGACGTGAAGAACCTGTAAGTGCTGTTTTCATTTCTTCAGTAAAGATGTGGCTGACTTGGGCTCTCTGATCAGAGTGGGGGTGAGGGATGGGACAGGAGGGCGGTCCAGGTGCCTTCAGAGATGAGATGGAGGGCTGTGCTCAAGTGGTTTCTAGGGAGCACATGTCCGATGCCACAATAGTGTTATAGAAGCCTGTGCTTCGCTGGTGAATCATTCCCAGGTATGAGCACGGGCGCCTCAGAGCCTGCTGAGTTACAGCCTGGCCCTACAGAACCTTGGTGCTAACTAGCTTTGCCCAACATCATTATCATCTTCTGTGAAATGGGGATGGTAACCTTGTGGGTGTGTTTTGTGCAACTGAGAAAGTGTTTAAAAGAAACAGCTTAGTGCCCCATACATAGTATGTGGTCAATCACTTGGAACCTTGATGACGATGGTGCTCTCTCTTATTAATAGGATCATCATCAGCTCCTGAGAGAGAGAGCATTGGGACCTATATCCCAGGAAGTTGGGGAGACATAGCCAGATTCACTTCCACTGCCCTAGGATTTTTTTAATACTTTTTATTTTAAAATGATTTTTGATTCGCAGGAAGTTTCAAAAAATAGTAGACAAGTCTGGGTACCAGTTTCCGCCAATGGTAGAATCTGATGTAACCACAGTACAGTATCAACACTAGGAAACTGACATTGGTATGCTCCAGAGACCTTATTCTTCAGATTTCATGTTCCACATGCGCTCACTTGTGTGCGCCTGTGTGAGGGTGGGCATGAGTAGTTCTGTGTGATTTCATCACATGCAGATTCGTGCAGCTGTCACTACAGTCAAGAGGCAGGACTCTTCCGTCACGACATTTTTAAACTTTGACCATTTCCTACCTGGCTTCTACTGACCGCTTGTTTGTGACTCCTGGGCTCCTGCAAGGACTATGCCTTGAATTTTCTACCTGAATCATTGTGCCCATGGGGTCAGAACATGCTTTTGGAGAGGGGTAGAGAGGAAGGTCTGGTTTGGCTGAGCAAGCACTTCTACCCAGCAGCCTTCTCTGCAGCCCCAGATTCAATTTGAGACGTCTTAAGGGAGGCTTAAAAAAAAAAACATTGTCACTTTTCCCTATAATGAATGCGGGGGTTTTAGTTTACTGGCACACTGAAGGCAGCTGGTGATGGCTTCCAGATGCAGGTTATCTGCCTCCCCTGTGGCCTTAGCGGAAAGCTTTTGGTGTTTAACATGCAGAGCACACAGGAGGGCAGAGGCGTCTCAGGGGTGGGTGGAGGTAACAGAGAAGCAGAGAGGACTTTGCAAGGGGCTGGAGGACAAGGAGGCTGCTTGCTGCTGCTTCTGAGGGTGTTTTCCTAAGAGCAGGAGAGGGCGGGGTGGAGCAGCCACAGCCACAAAGAATGGGAGTTTCTTTGCAGGACAGGTGTAGGCTTCTCACAAGAAATAACCTCCTGACTTTACATATCTTCCTGAGAAAACAAGTCGCAGAAAACCAAACCTTCAAAACGACTAAATAAATGAGGAGAGATCTTCTATCATCCTGAGCTGGCACTTTTAACATTTCAGAGTACTTTTCTAGCATTTCATTCCACTGCATTCCAAGAACTCAAGACTGTTGACCTGAACCAAAAACAGCTACGTTAATTAGCCTGCCAGAATGTCAGGGTGCAAGAAAATGGAGGCCCAGAGAGGGGCAGTGACTAACTCAGGGTCAGCCAGCTTTCTGATGATTGAGCCCCAAAAGAACAGTTTGCATATATAAAGTGATATATCGGTCAGATCTCATGATACTAATTTTAAATGGATCAGTTAACCAAAAAGAACATATTGTAGTGATGTATAAGCAAGGCTGTACAGTTAATTACCAACTATGTTTTTCATTGTTAAGAAAGTGAGTAAATCCCACAAAGGTTCTTTTTTATTTTTTATTTTTTGGAGTCGGCGTCTCACTCTGACACCTAGGCTGTACTCCAGTGATGCGATCTCAGCTCACTGCAACCTCCGCCTCCAGGTTCCAAGCGATTCTCCTGCCTCAGCCTCCTGAGTAGCTGGGATTTCAGGCACACGCCCATTCCTGGCTAATGTTTTTAATTTTAGTACAGACGGGGTTTCACCATGTTGGCCAGGCTGATCTCAAACTCCTAACCTCGTGATCCACCCGCATTGGCCTCCCAAAGTGCTGCGATTACAGGAGTGAGTCACTGTGCCCGGCCAACAGTTCTTAATAGTTTCTAGGGTTTCTCAGATTTTGTTTCACAGGATCTCTTTTTCCCCCTTATAATATCTCTACCTACACCAACCCCTCAGGAGTTAAAACGTTCAAGATTCTGTAAACGCAGACTCCTAAGTCACTCCAGCACCCACCATCAGCCCACCCTCTAAGCCATGTGTGTTACTCAGGAGTCTGAACCCAGCAAGGATCTTCTCTTTGTTTATTCCCACTATCAGCAGGCAGGCTTGGGAAAAGAAGGAAGGGTAGTGAACTCACTGCCTAAAGGATGAATTAACCAAAAACACCTAAGGGGGATTGAGTACTGTGTACTTCTAATCAGTTCAGTCAGCAGGCACTTATCAGGCAGGACCCTTAAGGCCCCAGAAGTACAAATCATGTTCTCCAGTAGCTTACAGTGTAACTGGGGACAAGAATCATGTAAATACAAGAAAATGTTTAGTAAAATGCCAGTCAACATGAAAGTTGGCTAATGAGTAGCTATATGTAATGAGGGGCTGTCAGAGCTCAGAAGGAACAAGCAGCTTTAAGCAATGCAGCCTAGCGGTTAGAAGCATGGTTTTGGCAGCGTCATAGAAGTATCTGTGAATTCCATGAGTTCTAGGTTCTGAGTCTGTGACCTTAAGTATATTACTTGACACTTCTAAGCCTAGGTTTCCACTGTATAAAATAAGGATGATAGTTGGACTTGCCTCATAGGGTTTTTGTGAAGGTTAATGAAATAATGTATATAGAATAACTTAGTCCTATGCTTGATACGCCTTTCTTCTAATAGTGAAGACTGTCACCGGGCCTGAATGGTGGTTAGGATTCCCAAAGGAAATAATGAAAATAGTACATGCAAAGTACAAAGGCAAAAGTGTATAAGGTGTGTTTCCAGCAGAGGCATCTCATGGGAGCGGAGGGATCTGAGGCAGCAGAGTGTGGGATTGGGTTAGAAAGAGAGGTGGAAGCCGGTTGCTGGAGAGCTTTGACTGCAAGGGGCATGGGCTTTAGATGTAGATACCGATAATGTGGATGGCTTTTGCCCTGGGACAGATCATGATGAAAACATTGATTCTGGAAGAGGAACTGAGGACAGGAGGACGTGGCAGAGGAAAGGTTCAAGCAGGAGATGGGGCTGTAGTCCCATGTGAGAGTGCAGGCTCATATCTCTCTCTCTCAGGCTCTCTCTTGGGAGACAGCAGCAGGAAGAGGAGAAAGAGGCCAAAGCAGGCAGTCCCTGGGGACAAAATCAACAGATCTTAGCGGCCAGTGAGTTATTAGAGGCCATGGAAAAAGAAGTGAAAAATGATTGGTTTCAAGTTCAGACAATACAGAGAATGATGGCAAATTCTCATCATCATTCATTCACACATCCATCAAACTATTTTTTGAGTTCCTTCTAAGTGCCAGTTCTGGGGAAAACAGCAGGGTGTAAGATATAGCAATATAAATCCATGAGCGCTGTCTTCTTGAAGCATCCACTTCACAGAAAGGAAAGGTCAGGAGGGAGAGCTGGGCTTGGAAGATCCTGAGATGGGTTGTAATCACATTGGATGTGAAGTGATATCAAGTCTTCTGCGGGCATTGTGGACAGAGCATCTTCTCTGTGTGAGGAAGTTCGTGATCTCACATCCTGTCCAGTTCCTGCTGGTTGAAGGACTTTGCTAAAGCCATGCCATGTCCCTGGTTCTCAGCTTCCTTGGTTTTAATAAGAGGGAGTTAGACTAAATAATCTTATCGCCCAAGAGAAAAAGTCATACGGGTAATTAGAACCATAGGACCTGAGCTGAGGATCTGATGCTTCATGGAAGGGAAGCATCTGGGCAGAGGTGATAATGAGCTGTGTGTTTAAATATGCATCAGCACATGGAAAATAGGAGACACTTAGCACAAATTAAATTTCTATAAAACCTGCTAAGGAAACACTCCTCCTACTACCAGTCTTCAATTATGGAGATTGTCTACCTTGTGAATGATAAATAGCAAATTTTAAATCTCAGAGATGCACGTCCTTGTCATCAGGCTGAGAACCACCACCCAGCCCCTGAGCCTGCTGCACCACCATGTGTGAGCTCAGGGAATTCACACCATTCCACTATTACCTTAAGAGAGAGTAGAAGATAAATTACTGCCGTATTCAGCTTCCAACTACATGCTACATAAAATAACAACCAGTCTGGCCTACGTGTAATACCGTATGCTTTATTAAAAGGAGAAAATCAAGATCTGGTTTAAAAAATAATAATTTTGTAGGTTTGACATATATTTTCTTTGCTTGCACTGACATTTCCTTTCAAGAAGGAAAAGACTGTGGCCAGGCGTGGTGGCTCATGCCTGTAATCTCATCACTTCGGGAGGCAGAGGGCAGGGGATCACCTGAGGTCAAGAGTTTGAGACCAGCCTGGCCAGCATGGTGAAATCCCATCTCCACTAAAAATATAAAAATTAGTCGGGCGTGGTGGCGGGTGTCTGTAATCCCAGCTGCTTGGGAGGCTGAGGCAAGAGAACTGCTTGAACCCAGGAGGCAGAGGTTTCAGTGAGCCAAGTTTGCACCATTGCACTCCAGCCTGGGAGATGAGGAAACTCAAGTCTCAAAAAAAAAAAAAAAAATAGGAAGAAGCTGTGATACCCACATTTTCCACATAAAATTTAGTTTTCATCAATGTGTATAATTTGGTAAAAGTCAGCAGATAAAATTAGCCCTAGGCCTCTGCAACTAACGTGCCATCAGTAACACACCCAACCATCCTTCAGACTTTGCCATAGACACTTGTGTGCACCCAGGTTCCTTTCCGCACT